GATTGCTCGGGAAGGGATGGGTGAGGGAATCCCTTCACGCATTTATACATAGTTTGAGGCGCTGACTGTGACTGAAGTGATTTTGGAAGCCTATAAAAATGACAGCAAAGCCAACCAGTTCTGGAAGGATGAACATGACGCAAAAAAATGATAATCCCAAAATAAATGAAAATAAAACAAAAATATTTTGTAAAAAAATGACGATCTAAATGAAGATCTAAATGAAAAAATAAAAAATCAACTTTCCATTGCCTGGCTGGCAAAGATTGACTTAAGGTTAGGCTTGGCTTGGTTGGATATTTGGACGCAAAGCGTTGGTCGCTTTGTTCGCCGCTTGTGAACCATCGCTGACCGTAGCAAGTTGCAAGAGGCCCCGTTTTTGCTGAATCTTTTTGAGCGCTCTTGCCAAGGCCAACGCAACGCATTGAGACTCTTGCCAACCCGGCAAAAAGCTCCTGGCCTCAGAACAAACCCAAGAACGACAAGTTGGGGTCAAAATGATCCTTTTGAGTACGGCGCATAACTCTGCAGGTTGCGCATCGTCACCGCTCTGCAGACTCTACACGGCGCAGCCAAGGAGCTACAACGGCGCAATTTCACGAAAGCGGCAGCACTGGCCGAGAGGCCCTGCATGGGAGCGCGGGTTTTGTGTGATTTTCTTTTTCAATTGTAGGATACCTCTGATTAAAATTTTGAAGATGTTTAAAGAACACATACTGAACGGAGAATTTACGCTCACAAACGTAGTGGCCCCAAGTCACAGTCCCAAAGGTGATAGGCACACTTTTAGCGCACGCTTGAAGTAAGCAAGTAAACCCAAATGAACACAAACCTGATCCCAAACGGCTGCAGTGAAACATACATCTATACATGTAACTGGTACTACATCTGATCACGCCTCCCGAGTTTAACGTCCCTCAGAAGTTAAGCGAGTCAGGGTTAGCACATGAGTGAATTAGCTCGTAGCCCTTCAGTACATCTTGGTCTTGAAGACGTACTTACTCTAGCTCAAGCCGTTCAACCTCTCAGTGTTAGTTCATGTTCACCTTCCAGGTAGTGGAAGTTCATGCTGATCATTGCAACGGTCATCTTCTCCTCGGTGACAGCTTTCGTTAGCACGTCGGCCAACATTCGGTCGGCGCCTTCTTTCTTGAGACGAAACTCTTTCTTTGCTGTACGCTCTTGTACCCAGTGGTACTGAGTGTCAACATGTTTGGCTCGTCCCAAACCTCGACGGTTTCCCATGGCGATGCCAGCGGAAGCGTCCATTGTCACCTCTTTGCCGGTAAACAATCCCCAGTCTTTGGGAGTTGATGCAATTCCAAGCATCTCACATGCTCCAGAAACAAGTCCATAATACTCGGGTTCACCACTGCTAAGGGAGACAACTCCTTGGCCTTTGCTGTAGGTAGTGAGACAGCACTTGTTGGCCATGAGCGCGCCTCCTGACACACTCTTTCGCGCCCTTACGCATCCTGCGTGGTCGGCGTCTGACCACATATTGAAAGGGTTGCAGGTGCTCTGATTTGGAAACAGCTGTGCAACTCTTGGTCGATATCTGACATATCTTGCCAATCGTTTCAGCATGTTCCAGTGCCTTGATGTTGGATTCTGTAGACCTTGTGCCAACGAGCGCGTTGCAGTTTACAGATCAGGTCGATCTTGTGCCAAATACGCGGCTCTCATAGCAATAGATCTATACATCGTTGCATCTTCAGCGCTCAACGGAACTTCTGCGTGTTGTAGTTCAGCTCTTGACTTGGCTTGGCCAATGGTGTCTTGACCTTGCCTGGTTGACCAGTGCCTAACCACTTGATGATCAACCCTGCATGTCTTGGATCTGGTTCCCACCAAATGCCTTCGTTTGACCAAGTGATGGTACGATTCAACACTCTGATCTGTTGGCTGGCTTTTTGTGATCCAGGTGGACCGAGAATGCCTCGTTCCACGACTTGCCGTGCCATTCTTTGGCTGCTGAGGTATGAAACCATTTGATGTCTTCAAAACTTCCTACTGACGTGAAATCATCTCCATGCACTTCTGTTCGAAGCTCTCTGGCTGAATGGTAGTAAATACACGGATTTGACTTACCTTGCAAAAATCCTAACTTCTTGAACTCTGCGATGGTCAGTTCCCCGTCCATGGGTGCATCTCTGGTGCCATACAGGCTTCTGACCAATCTTCCAACTACATCTCCATCTCCTGGCTTCTTGCCTTCAGATGGGATCTCAACATAAAGTTCTCTGGTTTGGAGTAGAAATGAGCTCTTTTCACGTCTAAAAATCCGAGGAAAGATTGCCTGGTCTTTCTTTTCTCGCCTTTCTCCAATGGAATGCTGTCGCTGACTGCAATGGTGAGCAGTAGCTTCAAAGCTGTTAGGCTCGGCATGGCTGCGAAAAATTCATCAAAACCTGAGGCTCTTTTGATTTCCTGTGCCACCAATCTACTTCTGTAGAGAGGATTGGTTTCATCTTGCTTGTTCACATCAACCCGTCGAGTTCCAATGATTTTGGTTCCTTTTGGAACTTGGCTTCTTGAGATTTTCTCCCAAACTCCCGTAGATTCGACAACGTCGATCTCATCTTTTCTGGCTTTCTCTACCTTTTCAGGAAGGAGTTCTTTTCCACTGATGTCATCATAGTACCGCCAGCCTCTTGCTTCTTCTGCCATTTCTTCTGGCAGTGGAATCTTCTCTTCACACACTGGTTTCTCTGGGTCGATGCTAGATAGCACTCTCTCTCTCTCTCTTTCTGTCTTCTAGGATTAGCCATTTCAATGCTTTGGATGTCTCTTGTTCTCTCGGCTTCATCTTCATGTTCGCCTTTTGCTTTTCTCTTGTCTCTATCTACTCTGGCTTTTGCTGTTGGTGATCCTGCTGGTTCATGTTGTCCTTCATGTTCTCTCTTTTCTCCATATGGTTCAGGATCACGTGGTCTGCGAATTCCTGACGCTGATGCTGATGCCGTCCCTGGTGTTGGTGGCGCTGCGGCTGGTTCGCGCCACAAGTCTGTCACTATGCCCATCTTGTGAGGTAACGCTGCATTGAGTATCTCTGGTGGATGGTCAGTTGTCATGACTCCACTTTCAATGATTGCATTGTTTGCATGGTTTCTTGTGACTCGGTGCCAGACGGTAGACCAGTCAGGTCCTCCTGGCGTTGTAGTTTGAAAACAATGAGCGTCGACGTCGAGTCGTGTGAATACCCGACATGAATCGGGAACTCCCGATGGTCTCTTGCTTTCATATCCATGGAGGAGTTGAGGTCTTTTGCCACTGACTGGCTGTGGCATGCCAGTGGCTGCTTCTCCTACTCAACTCTCATATCTTGCTACTCTTGGATTCTCTTCTTCTTCACCTCTGATGTGTTCTTCAAGTCTGTCTCGACACCTGTTGGTGCGCTGGATGCCTGAAGTTCTTTTGCCAATCTGTGTGGCATCACAAGCTGGGCAACCTGCTGTGTACCCATACTTCTCAAGGTGTTTCTTGGTGACGTAAAGCCTTTTCAGCTTTCTTTTCTTGTCATCGATTGCCGGTGGTTGGACTAAAGCTTCACCACTTGGACCGGCAATGATTGGTTCCCTTGAGGCTGCAATCGCTGGTTCTTCGCAAATTGCTTGAGGGTCCCAGGGAATGCCAGTGATCGACTTCAGCAATGCTGAGTCATATCGATCTTCTTCGGGCTTTCTTCGGATTGACTGCACTGTGTAAACTCAGTGGCTGCGCCTACTATTTTCAATGGTGCTGTCTCTCACTCCTAGAAAAATACCCTTAGTCCATTGGGCCTCGAACTTGTGACCTCTCTTGAGGTATTCGATGGCCTCACCGAAAGGTGGGATGGCTACCTTCCATTCTCTTCCACAAAGCCTCAAGTATGGCGTCTTTCCGTCTTGGAGTTCGGTCGATTGGAAAATCAGGTTGTAGACCGTGGATGCGTGTTCAACTAACCAAATCAAAATACGCGAATCATCTGGAAGCTTTTCACCATAGTTCCACTCGAGCGCGGCTCAAAGAGTCCTTGCCTGTCCTTCCAAGGTTTGAACTGCTCGTTCAATTTCTCCCTTGGACTCTTTGAGTCCTTTCGGGCTCTTCTCGATGATCAAGGTTCCTTCAAACCCATTCTTTACTCCCTCAACGACGGATGTGAGAGCAGGTTGAGGATCATGTCGAATGATCAGTTTGGAATACCCTAGTTTCTTGATGTCATTCAGGAGTACCTTGGATCCATATGGTCCTTTGGTCACACCCTTGTAGGGTAACACGTTGGCAAAAAGATGTTTCGTCCACCGATCTCTGACAACTAGAATTGGGGCATGTGTCTTCTCATCCATGACTACATCATCAGCTCGTGAATTCATGAAACAGTAATCTACAGTCACTACTGGTGTGGTTTCATCTGAATGATCCACCCACTTGTGGGGATTGGCTCTGGCCTTGCCTCTATTTAATGCAGGCCTCACACCACGAACGAAAAGGAACATGTGAAACTGAGTGTTCCTCGAGCTCTTTTCGCGTTGGGCGAACTGGAGCGTTGATCTTGAGTCTAGATGGAAGTTCATCACCTGGCTTGGCCTCACCGGCTTCAAATTCTGCCGGGGCCTCTTCGTCCATGACCGGACTTACCCACATCGGTGCCGGGTGAAATGGTGGAACACGATCGGCACGGAGTACACTCCGTCGCAAAAGGAAATTGGGATTTTATTCCAATCTCGAGCAATGTGTCCTCCAGTCTTGCTCATCTGGATGGACCAACCCTCGTCAGCAAGGGCTCCTGCAGAAAGTAATGGCTTTGGGACTGCCATCGCTCGAAAGCTGCACCGTCAGGGCTCCATTGCCGATCCCGATGGTCACCTTGGCGTTGATCTTGCCAAGATCTTTTACCGTCTCGCCCGATGCTGTCTTGTAGATCTTCGAATTCGTGCCTTCAGGCAAAACAGGCTTGTAGCCCAATGCTGCGGCGAGTTCGACTGGGATACAGGACGTGGCTGCACCTGAATCCAAAGTCACCTGATGAGCCATGGGCGTCTCAATGGATGCCAGCTCCAAACTCTTGAGAGCCAGGTGGATCTCCTTCACCTTCACTTGGCTCACTGTCGGTGTTGGACACCGCTTTCCCTTTTCTTTCTGGGTCTCTCGAGCGGCATCCTTTGTTGCCAGATTGACAGCTCGAGTCAGCTGTATACCTTCTGCTTTTGCTTGCCTTTCTCTTGGCCTTTCTTGTGGCCTTTCTCGGAGGCAGCCGGAACCGAAGCGGTTCGGCTCTTGCCCGGAGAACGAGACCGGGACTTCAACCTGAGCATCTGCCTTGGCGCCTCACTTGATTCCTCCTGCTTGGCCTCTGGCTCACGGAATCGTTCCAAGCGCTCTTCCGTCGAGCTCTTGAACCAGGCCACGCGCTCCTCCTTGGTCTTGCCTTTCTTCTCAGGAGGTGGAGGTGTTTTGGCAATGCGCCTTTGCTTTGTCTTTGAAGTCTTTGGACCCATGTCGTCCTCCTCTTCCTGATCGTCCATCATCTTCTGCATGTGGGCCATCGTGTAGAAAGGGTGTTCTTTCTTGACGCTTTACCACTTGGGCTCCTTCATTTCCAGGTGTTCTGCCACCTCTTCAGGCTTCAAAGCCATCTCGGCATC